TCTTCTGCCTCTTGTGTCCGTTGGCCTCCTCCCTTCACATTAGAAGACTCGTGGTTCGGATTCCAGGATAGCCTCTCCTTTCCAGATCTCTAGCAGTGTCTCTGCTGTCTGTAGGGTGGTTGTGGACAGTGTCTGAGGACTGGAATGTAAGTGTCTTTGAAGGAGTCATTATTCCACATTCTCTAGGGAGACATGGAGTTAAAAGAGAAGATAGAATCCAGATTTTTGACTTGGACAAGCAAGTGAAATGCAGTTCTAAGGAAGGAAATCAAGTTTAGGTTTGAATCTAGTGACTTTAAAGTGTCTTAGGGAGATAAGTTGTTAGATGACCCAGTCAAAAGGCAGAACAGAAACCAAGGTGGAAGATAGAGATGAGGAAGCTGTAACATGTGTGAACCTGCAGTGAAGGCTTGGAGGAAGGGGTTGGGCATTGGGAGAGAATAGGACTAAGAGCAGGGTCATGTTGCTGATTTTGAGAAAGAACCTGGCTAGCAATCAGGACAAAGCCTCCTCCCATAGAGGGCCTTGCACAGTCCTGTACCTGGGCCCCTAGACATCACACCACCATGGGTTTGAGCAGTGGCACATGCGTGTGAGACCCCTGGGCATCACAGCATGGACCACCACTCCGGGATGACTTGCACATGAACAGCAGACTGATTGGACCTCAGAGATGTGCTCTGGGGCAGGTATCCAATCAGAGGGGCTAGTGGATGTGGAGACAGCTCGTGCTGGGACCTTTTGTGTGAGGACTGAGTTTGAGATGCACATGTAAGAACTGAGTCCAGGCAGGTGAAGGGCAGTGGTTTCCTGAGTGTTGACCTGCATGCTGCATTGCTTGGGTGTGGTCAGGAGCTTGACAAGACAGACCCCAGCCCTTCCTGCCACACACCAGGACACACACACCACAGCTCTGTGCACATGGCACCTCTTCCATCACTCTGAGTACACACAGCTGGACTTCTTTAAAAAACAAAACAGCCTGCAGCTGGAGGGCAGACGAGATAGAAAGACCCACTGCTTTTTGGAGTTCTCTCTGAATAGGAAGAGAACTTTTGTCTACACTGCCAGTTCAATAGACCACTCAGAGTCTTCAGATCCACACTGGTTTGAGTTATATGCAGATGAGACTCCTTCACACGATGTCTGTTTGTTGAACCAAGCTAAGATGGACTCCAATCTGTGAGCTCACACAAGCTTCTGTGAATCCATGCCAAGCTTCAGGGAAGATGTGTCCTTGCATGGACTGCAGGAGAGGCCCTGAGGGTGGCTGGGGTGAGTGGTGACCCTCTGCTCCCCAGGCCAGCCCTAGAGCCCGCCCTGGCCAGCATTGCCTGCTGGGACAGGGGTTTCTACTCATGGTGGACATTCACCAAGTGCTTGTCTAGTCATGACAGAGGTCCCTCTGTGCTTGGCTTGAGAGAGCAAAACAGCCAGAGCCATGCGACTCCGCTTCTCAAGAGAGTGGGGAGACAGACATGTTCTGAGTCGTGCAGGCCTCAGAGAGCAGCCAGTGTGGGGACCCTGAATGCTGTTGGGGTCAGATCTCCTTAGTTGTCTGCACACCACTGCGTGGTCATGGACAGCTGCTTTGGGGTGAAATAAGTGTTTTAGGCAATGGATTGTGGAAACAGCAGTCCCTTGTGAGAAGAGAATGAGCTGAAAACCCCAGAAGGGTGGGGTGCTGGTGGCTCACACCTGCAATCCTAGCTACTCAGGAGGCCACAAAAAGGCTCGGAACAGTTCCTAGGCCCTGAGTTCAAGCGCCAGGACTGGCAAAGCAAAACCAAACAAAAAAGCCAAGAAGGCAAGAGCAAATACAGGCCCTGCTCAGAGCTGCAATGTCTAGGAAAATCTGCTCAAAGAGACACAGCACTGAGGCCCACAGAAGAAAGCTGGAAGGGCCTGTCGTGAGCAGCCGCAGCTGCTGGTGGCAGGGGCTCATGAGAACCCCGCAGCCCAGCTGGTTGTGAAGCTGATATTCTGGGATCAGCGTGAGGTGGGGTGAGGAAGGCAGAGGTAGCCTCGTCCTCCATTGCAGCACTTTGCAGCTGGGTACGCAGAGGATTTTGTTGTTGTTTGTTTTTGTTCAGGGGCTTGAGCTCAGGGCCTGGGTGCTGTGCCTTAGTTTTTTCTACTCAAGGCTGGTGCACTACCACTTAGGTCACAGCTCCACTTTCATTTTTTTTTTGCTCGTTGGAGATAAGGGTCTCACAGGTTGTCCTGCTCTGGCTGGCTTCAAACCTTGATCCTCAGGTCTCAGCTCCTGAGTAGCTGAAATTGCAGATACCAATGAGATACCAGTGTCCAGCCAACCTTGGGGATCTGAGGATGACTAAATTGGTATGAGAAGCAAGCGGGTCATGTTCTTCTCTTACCATTCTTCTTCCTATCTTGTCTTTCCCTCCTGTCTTTTTCTTTTCTTATCTTTTTTCTTTTTGTCAGTTGTGGGGCTTGAACTCGGGGCCTGGGCGCTGTCCTTCAGCTCAAGTCTAGCGCCCTACCACTTGAGCCTCACTGACAGTTCTGGCTTTTTTCTGCTTATGTGGTGCTGAGGAATCGAACCCAGGGCCTCATGCATGCAAGGCAAGTGCTCTACCACTGAGCCACCTTCCCAGCCCCCTCTTCTGTCTTTTCTTCAGACCTCAGTGAATTATATAGAATGTAACTTCTGAATTATCCAAGCTTGCCAAATGCTATGTCCCAAGCCCAAAATGATTTCTTTCCTTTTTCTTCTCTAACTTGAAAATTTCAACCTAATTTGAGGGTAAACTTAAGTCAACGTCTTCTGAAGTCTCTGGGAAGCTCCCACTCGTAGGCAGCCTTTACCTGTGTTCCCGTATCTTGGTGCTTATTCTCTTATATCACTTATCAGATTTGTTCTGGTCATGTGGTAGGGTGATAATACACAATATTATTTGACTCAGGATTAGGCTCCACTGCATATAAATGTGGCTTACAGGAGATAGAGACTCATTTCTATCTCCTGTTAAGGAAGACTAGAAAGGAGAAATCTAGAGCAGGTGGGCAGCTTTGCAATGTCATCATGAAGCTAAGTTTCCTATCTATCTGCTCTGCCATATCCAGCTACTAGTTTTCATTTTTTAAAAGTTTGTCTCATATCATCAACTACTTGCCTATGCTTCACCCCTTGCATCCATGCTCCAGAAGACAAGAAGGAGGCAGAAGATAGTTTATCTTTTGTGTTTAAAATAGACTTTCTGAGAATACCATACAGCAATTTTACTTAAATAATCATTAACCTGAATTCAATCATCTAGTGGCAAGAAACACAGAAAACTGTAGTCTTTTAATTGTGTTAGCAATGTGTTAAAACTTTTATCATTAGAAATGAGAAGAAAATAGATATTGAGGGCAAATTGCAATCATATTATTTGGCACATGTTTTACTTCTGGTAGTTTTTGATGCTTTCAATTCTCTGCCTGTTGAAGCTGAGCAATCCATGCCCTTAGGAAACAATTACAATGTAGGTGAAAACACAAATCACACGGAAGGTTGAAGTTCTCATTGAAACTTAGGTGTGCAGAAATGTTCCTTCATTTTCACAACTTGACCTGCCCACCAGCCCCTATTTTCATTAATGACTTGGAGAAAAATCTTAAAGGTAATATAGACACTTCTGCTTTATGATGGAATCTTGAGGTAATTCAGATAAATCCAGGGCTCATCCCTCCCCCCCTCTTCTTGTCTTCCCTCAGGAGTGGCCGCTATGGAAGGCTCCTCCCCCTCTGCTCATTCCCTTAACCTAAGAAGGAGGCACCGGACATCTCCATCTCCCTCTCCCCACCCCCACCCCCACCCTAGGACCTGTTAGATCTGGGACACTGTTTTGCTGCTTAGATTTCTCCCCTGCAGATTGCAAGCAGTTGGCACACAGGAAATGGTTAAAATGTGACAGATGCATCGATGAGTGTCTTAGATGCAGCACATAATTAATTCAAATGGTACCATAATGATCTGAAAATCCTGTGCAATTAAAAGTCTATTTCTCCAAAGCCTCGCAGAGCATTTATGGCTTTCTTACAACCCTCGGGCTCAGCTATGTGGCTGTGTAACTTCCCCTCCTCCACTAGAGTGTGGACTCCTGAAGGAGGAGCTCCTGACTCTCAGGGTGCTAAAAATGGGAGCAGGGACCCCTTCAGTGAGCACAGGAGTGTTGGGCTGGCTCTTACCACTAACAATTCACCAACTTACCACTAGTAGTGGCTCTTTTTTTTTTTTTAAGGTTTTATTTACATAGTTCCATGGAATCAGACCCAGGGTCTTATGCATGCTAGGCAAACACCCTACCACTGAGCTCCATTCCCAGCCACTATTAGTGGCTCTTACTACTAACCAATGACTCTCACTTGAGAGGAAATAGAATAAATTTCTACCTTCTATTTTGGAGGGTAACTGCTGAAGTTTTCTTTATATATATAATTTATTTTTTATTTTTATTTATTTATTTATTTTTGTTGGTCTTGGGGCTTGAACTCTGGGCCTCAGTGCTGTCCCTCAGCTCTTCAGCTCAAGGCAAGCACTCTACCGCTTGAGCTACAGCACCACTTCCGGTTTCCTGGTGGTTTATTGGAGATAAGAGTCTCACGGCCTTTTCTGCCCTGGCTGGCTTTGAACCGAGATCCTCAGATCTCAGCCTCCTGAGTAGCTAGGATTACAGGCGTGAGCCACCAGCGCCCGGCTATTTTTTTTTTATTGTTTGTGCCAGTCCTGGGGCTTGAACTCAGGGCCTGGGAGCTGTCCTTGAGCTTTTTGTGCTCCAGGCCAGCACTCTACCACTTGAGCAACAGCTCCAATTCTGGCTTTTTGCAGGGGAGGGGGGGGGTGCTAGTTACTTGGAGATAGGAGTCTCACAGGCTTTTCTGCTCAGGTTGGCTGTGAATCGTGGTCTTTCAGATCTCAGCCCACTAAATAGCTAGGATTACAGGAGAGAGCCATTTTATATTTTAAGAAAAAAAGAGATGCTTTTGTTTTTCAGAAATCCTCCACCTACGTTACTGCATCCGGACAAATGGTGCAAAGAATTCAATGACTTCATCTCACAGTGAGTATGTCCGCCCCTGAAAAACCCAGCCCGGCTGAGACAAGTCAGGGAGAAGTCAGGGCTGTGGCATCTACTTGACTGTACACACAGGATTCCTTCTAGACAATGAGAGAGAAGAAATGCATCCCCTTCGACTGGGTGCTCACGAGTCTCCTGCTCATGCGCGACACGTTTCTCTGTTGTGGACTAGATATTGCCAACCTGAGTTTAGGGAGAGAGGAAGATCACACCTGAAAATCTGACAGCAGAGAGAAGCCGTCCCTAGCAGCCTCCATCCGCAAGGGGTCGCTGCGCGGGGCTTGGGCTCTGCTGGAGGATCTGGGAGTGGAAATGGCCCTAGACCCCAAGATAACAAATTAGGACCAAAGAAGTCTCAGGCCTGGGCCTGCGAGGGGAGACACCAGAGCTCAATGTGAGGAAGAGCAAGAGGAAAACCCAGCTGATGGCCGAGCCCCCTGGTGGCAGACATGCCTGCAAGGCAACACTTGTGCGTCTAAGACAGTAGAACCAACAGCAACAGGGTGCTGGGGGCCTGCACACGGGCCCCCAGCTGCAGAAGATCCTCTCTGAGGGAGGGGGCCGTGAACCCCCAGGCTGGGGCCCCGGGAACTGTGGGAAGTGGGAAGAGGCGTCCCCTGTGCCTACTATAGCAGAGGATGCAGAGGTCATAGCAGAGGGTTCAGAGGTCATGGGAAAAGAGAACTGATTCATGAAGTAGAGAAGAGGTCAGCACATATTTTTTCTCTCTTATGCCTGTGAACGATCTTCAACAGAAACTGATGGTCAGAGCTGAGCTCTGGTAGCTCACACCTGTAATCCTAGGTACTCAGGAGGCTTGTGATTTGAAGCCAGAGTGAGTAGGGAAAGGCCATGAGATTCTTATCTCCAATTAGCCACCAAAAAGCAGGAAGTGGAGCTGTGACCCAAGTGGTAGAGCACCATCTTGGAGCAAAGAAATGCAGGAACAGCACCCAGGCCCTGAGTTCAAACCCCAGGACTAGCACTCACACACACACAAAGAAATTGTCTTGATCATCTTCCTTCACTATAGCCTGTATCTCCAATCATTTACCCACAATGTTCACATCAAATAGCTCTGAGATAGTTGAATAGCTCTTTTGTAGTTGAATCATATAGCAGCAAAACCTCACCTTACATGAACTGATTTGGAGGCAATGCATGACCTGAACTGCTGAGACCCTATTTGTAGTCATTATTTGTCTTGCTCGGTGTGAATATTCTTATGTTTGACTGTGGATCTATTCTGTTTGATTACAGTGTGCTATCCGGGCTCCTGATGGGATGTTAGATAATGTACAGTAAATGGACTGGTTTTTCTCTCTAAAACCTGATGGAATTTAGACTTCTGAGAACTATGAACTTGTCATTTTCCTATCAACTACAGCATAGCTCAGGGTCATTGAACTTGCTTACTCATCCAGTCCATCCTCGTTCTGGGCTTTTTTGGGGGGTGTGAAATGGAAAAGTGTTCTTCTAGAGAACTCTACCAAGAGAGGCTATATTGCAATTTGTCTGTGAAGTTCAAGGACATGGCTAGACAAGCCAGATCTTTGTCCACCACCCCAATCTAGAAGTCCAACTGCAGAATAAACCAGGGGCAACTCCAAGTCCATGGATAATGTCTGGCTATCTGAGAGGAACAACAGATTCCAACAAGAGAAATGATGGTCACAGGCCACTTTCTGAGAAGTAGGAGGAGCCAGGGAAGAGGTCAAAGGAACCTCATGGCTCAGGACTGCATCTCAGTCCACCCAAGAAAGAGAGAGAGAAATCTGGGAGCCAAGCTTCTGATGCAAAGACTAGATCCAAAGAATTCCTCCCTTTTACATTGCATTGCAGCACACAGATACCCTTGACCGACCTTCTCTAAGGACTGACCTAGAAAAAATCCATTACATATTCACCAACCCACCTTCTTCCAAGCTCTCCTGATGCCTTGAAGATGTGAGGTGACTCAGAAGTTCGGTTTAGGTGTATTTTTCCCATTATGTTTGTATTCTCTAGCCAGCACAGTATTGCTTGAATGGATCAGAGAATAAAGGTACATAATTGGTGGTAAAGTCAGGACAGTTAGGATGATATACAATAGAGATGTTTTCCTTATGGAAAGTTCTATCGTGGACCAGTCCCAATCTGCTTATGTATTTCCCAACTTTGATAATTCCAGATGTACTCATTGTGCATTGCTTTAGAGCTAGAAAGGTCTGGAACACTGGAAGTCCATATAAAACAATGTCTGTGAGGAGCAAAGCAAAAGGGATCTTGATAAAATACAAAGGGATTAGAGTCTGAAAAGTCTTAATGAGTCAGGGAGGCAAATAAAAATTGAGTGGTTATTTGCTTTACTGCTATTAATTATATTTCATACTTTTAGATAGAAACCTGCTCACTATCTCTCTCTCTCTCTCTCTCTCTGTCCTTTCTTCTTTCCTCTTCCTCCTCCTCCTCCTTCTTTTCTTCATATCACTGTAACCTTCTGAGCAGCCATATCCAATCTGAGTCATGGTTCCAAAGTATGTAACCTTTCCAAGAGTCCAAGTCAGAAGAAGATACACTTAATCCCTAACTTGCCAGCCAACTCACCAAAAGTTACCAGAAAGTTTAGGGGAGCTAAACAAGCTTAGTTCTTGCATCTGGCAGGAGAAGAATTCAGGTAAGACAGAAACTTAAGTAAAGATGACAGAAAAGTTTGATAGGAAAGAAATAGGAAAGAGAGATGTGCTACATCATTATGCCACAGGAAAACAGCACTGGAACCCTTCTCAGTCAGCCATGTATGCCTTCTTCCTCATTACAGAATTGGCCTTGGATGGCTTTCTGACTGATGGCTCTCCCTCCTGTTTCCTGGGAAGTTGTGACACTAAAGTTTTACTGTCTTGTCCTTATTTCCTCATTCATTTGTCTTTTTACTTTCACATTCTGTTGCAGTCCCCTGCTTCCATTTCATGGCTAGCCACATTTTGGTTTATCTGTGAGCTACGTAGGCCATAATTCCTTGCCAACTTCTCTACTAACCCATACAATCAGAACTTGAACTCAGTACCTTTCATTTGGCTTTATTGCTCATGGCTTATGTTCTACTATTTTTGAGTCACACGTCCAGCCCCATTTTTTTAATTGGTTAATTGGAGATCGAATCTCTTATTTCTGCCCAGGCTAGCTTCAAATCGAGATCCTTTCCAGGTCTCAGCCTCTTAAGTAGCTAAGATTACAGGTGTGAGCCACCAGCACCTGGCCGGATTCTTGGGTTTCTAAATGAGAATGTCCCTGGTGGCCCGCTTCCCCACCCCCTTCACTCAGCTTACCCAATGCAACCTGGCTACATGCAATTTCATTATAATACTTCAGATCTCTAATTAACTGTAAACAGTGACACTCTCTGGGTTTAAAATGTCTATTTAAAGAGAGAACCTTTGTTTGCTTTTATACTTTGCTCAGATTGGAAATGAGGGTAGGGGATTAACCCCTTGTGATCCACAGTGGGCTGAATCTTCCACTTCTTAGTCCTTGCTGGTTACAATTCACTAGAGACCTGGATGACATCACATGGTGTGCAGCAGGGTATGGCTATAGTCTCATGGGTGTAACAGTGTAGGGGGGACAAAAGGGATTGCTGTACAGGTCAGGAGTGTGAATGCACACATGCAGCTTTACCCTTGGAGGGACCTTAGGAAGAAGAAGGAGTGGACTGAGATGGATTTAGTGTTTTTCAATTTGCTTCCAGCTTTCTTATTTGAAGACAGCAGGAGAGGTTTTTAAAGGGAGTAACTGTCTGAAATCCTCTTATAAACTTGGTTTGGGGAGGGGAGATGGGTGAGAAAGAAAGAAAAGAAAGAAAAAGAGAGAGAAAGAAAGAGAGAGAGAGGGAGGGAGGGAGGGAAGGAAGAAGGGCAAGAAGGAAGGAAGGAAGAGAGAGAGAAAAGGAAGGAAGGGTTAAAAAATCCTTCTTGTTTGGTTCTGAACCCTTGGTTGTTAGTGATAATTAACTCATTTATATGTGTTAGTTATGCATTTGTCAAGGCATGACTGCTGACAACTTAGTTATGATAAATTAAACATGATGCTCACATAAATTCTGCTCTCCTCTTTATCCCTGTGCTAGGACCCGGTTTGGTGTGGGTTTTTTTTTTTTGTCACCTCTCTAATGTGCGGTTGGCTTTGTAACAATTTCATTATCAGCCCTTTCCCCTCTGGCTAAATCTATTTGCATAACAAGCTTATCTGGTTCAAGTACCAACCAGACCTTGCTTTCACAAGTAGCCTTTTGAAAAGACAACACTAATATTCATTTGGCTAACACCTTGGTCCCAGTGGATGTCACTTTTTAAGTTCAAACTAATTTAAGGTCCCTAGGCTAACTTCCAAAAATACGTTCTTACCTATTGGCCAAAAAAAGATTTATTTATGAGCTATGCTCTTTGATGTTTGCCTCTAAAACTATAGGGGTTTTATAAGAGATTAAGATTAAGATTTCACCCTCAATGATAAACTGGTTAGTGAGACAATAAAACTGGATTTCTTTTGGTCAAGAGAAAATCCACCAAAAGCCTCCTAGCTTTTCACATTTGGATTTATTAAATGTGGATCCTTCACACATCAACTGCTTACTCAAGGTGGCTGGCTTGGGAAGAATAGGAGGGAAAAAAAGTGAGGTATATGGCTAACACCCCCTCTAATAAAAGACATGCTAGCAAGAGAAAAGCATAATGAATGTATTGAACATGAATTTTATGTGACTGAGATACCTTCAGAAATGAGGATCTAAAGCCCCAGGAAAATTGCTTTCATGCTTAGATTTGATGAAGAATGGATAGTCATGCAGAAGTATGATTGACAGGAAGGGTGTGTGTCCTAGTGGGAGTAAACTGGGGGATTATGGCTCAGATGCTTCTTTTTTAAATTTTATTTTTTTGCCAGTCCTGGGGCTTGAACTCAGGGCCTGGGCATTGTCCCTTTTTTTTTTTGTCAGTCGTGGAGCC